CAGGCAGGGTGGGCTGTGCCATCCCCCCAGGGCTCAGGAGCAGGCAGGGTGGGCTGTGCCATCCTCCGGCAGCTCAGCCCCGTCCCGGGAGCAAACTGCCCTCCCGGAACGTCCAATATCAATGGAGCATTTGTCTCGTGCTTGGCACCAGGCTCTGGAGCACAAGGGCCCGTGTGCTGGATCGCCCAAACACAGCTATAAATGGCAAGAGGAGTTGCACAGACAGACTGTTCTCTCATGCTGCAGGAGCTCGAATGGCACAGTTAACACCCGCGCTGCCCGAGCGGCTCCCGAGGAGGAGGAGGAGGAGAAGGGCAGCCGGGGAGAAACACTGGCACACTGCAAGGGGAAAAAAAAAAAAAAAAAGCTAAATAGAGAGATTAAAATAAAATTTAAATGCCATGTTGGGTCTAGCAACCCGCCTGCACAGAGCTGGTGCCACCCTCGGCACCGGGCCAGCGGATTAAGGATGGCTGGGAGCAGGGAGGCTGGAGCAAGATGCTTCTTGCATTCTGGAGTCAAGACAAATTCCTGCCGTTTCAGTGATTCTGGAGCGTGGCCAGATGTCCTTCCAGGAGAAAAAGCTGCAGATGTGGAAACCCGCATTGCCAGCCCTGGGAGTGATCCTGCTGCTACAACGCCGAGTATTTTTGGATGCGTCTCCAGGCACTGATGGCACAGCAGCCCTTTGCAGAGGTGCTGTGGGCACGTGCTGTACTGTACCACGGGCTGTGGCGTGGGCTCCTCCGCTCCTGACTCTGGTTATCCGAGCTGGGCACTGCCCAGACCACTGGGCTAAATATAGGGAGCTATATTTATAGACAGTTACTATAAAGGAGCAGCCACCCCAGCACACACCTGTCCTCAGAGCAAAGCTCCTGAGCCAAGCATCCCTTAGAGCCCAAATCTCACCCACCAGACCCCTCAGGCACACCCTGACTTATCCATCGCCCTCTGCCTCAAAGAGGAAAATAATGACAGACTACAGGCTGTGAGAAAATATATAGGTTTTTTTTTTATTTGACAATTAACAAAAGAGGGATCCGAATTTCGGCTGTAAACATTGATAGCTCCTTTCTGATCACAACTAGTACTTTCCACCAACATCCTTTTGTATGGTCTGATCCGCTCCAACAATGCTGAGCCGACTCTGTCAGGGCTTTTGCTGCTCTGCTCAGGGTCACAAATCCAGAGGCAGCTTATTCACCACAGCATCAACAGCAGGACCAACCACCCACACTGAAGACAGCTGATGGACTAAGACACTTTAGAGCTGCTTCCATACACGAGAGACGCTCAGGGAAGGCAGGAGGCCGTGCTGGGTTTGTGCCAGAGAGAGGGAAACATCTCTAAACCCAGCAGGTTTGGAGAGAAACCAGCTCTGCAGAGGCAGAGCCCTACTCGAGCAGGCAACAGGGACTCACACAGTGCCAGCCCAGCGAGAACATCCCAGCCCTGTTGTCAGAGGGAAGCTTTGGCCCCGGACTGTAAAAATTTGGAGATGCAGAGCCAGCAAGTCTGTCCCAAAGAGGGACTGGCACCTCGTCAGCTCCATTGTTGCAGTGGAACCAGAACCGCCTGTAGCTTGACAAGGGGAAGTGAAACTTCATCTTGGGCTGGAGGGCAGCCAGAGCTGGGGGAGCTGGCACCCAGCTGCCAGCCATCCCATGGGAATCTGGCCTGAACATCAGCAGAACTGAGCTTTTTTAGGGAGATAAGCCTTCCAGAGCCTCTCACCCTCCCCTTTTCCAAGAGGAACCACTCTGCAGGTGGGTCAGCTACACACAGTATCCAAGTCTTAACTACTCAAACCACCTTTTGCTGTTCAAAACCACCAGCAGGGAATGAAGCCGTGGAAAACCAGCAGGGAGAGTCTCCCAGTGCCATTCCCACAGCAGGGACCTCAGATCAGCACCTCGGGCCACCCTCCCCCCTCCAGCAACATGAGGAGAACCAGGAAAAGGGAAGATGCACAACACTAAAGAACAGTGTTATAAATAGAAACCTCCCTCAGCTGTAGGAGTGACCTGCCAACAGCTACACAATTCCTGGGATTTGTAGCTGCTTCGGAGAGAGGGATGGAGCAGCCTGAGGTACCAAGGAGCATCTGGGCAGATCCAGGAGCAGGATCTCAGCTCACTCCTCTGAGGTCACCCGTTGGTTCTGAGCCTGGTTTTTGGTGGGAGCAGAGTCACCTCATCACCACAACTCCCCCGATTGGACAAGCAAATAAAAATAACCCGGCAGATTTGAATACACTGTATTTATTCGTAACAGATTCTAAAGAATCTAGTGAGTCTATGTCAAGCCCATTGCATGACAAGTGATACAGGTGTAGGAAAAAAAAAGACATTTAAAACAAAACAAAACAAAAAAAAAAATATCAAGTGCCATTCAAGCTACTGGAATCTTCCAATTGCCCCCTCACAAGAGGCAGCACAGTATCACTGCAAGGTCTAGAAAAATTCAGATTCAACCCATTCACAAGAGTCCCACCACACACACTCCGTATATCAAAAGTGCAATCTCAATGGGAAGTCGCCCTGCTGAGCTGTTGGCTGTAGGGAATCTTTCTGGGCATCTCAGAGGGAAGGAGGGAATCTCAATTTAGTGTCTACGTGTCTGTGGGCAGGAGCAGCCTGGAGAAAACATGCTACATGGCATCTACGTTCATCTGAAGTTTAAAATGAAAGAAAAAAGTATCATCTGCTCCCACAGGCAGCCCTTAAGCCAGTTTTAACTTGCACTGGAAAATCTCAAGCTCCCACCACTGAGGCTCTGGGGAGTTATGGGGCTGCAGCAGAGCTGACACAACAGCCCTGGCCACGAAGGCAGAGCTGTCCTGCAGGGAGGCAGCTAAAAACCTACACTGTTAGTGACACTTCTTCAGCTCTGTCTGGAGAGGGAGCAAAGTTGGACCAGTTTCAGCTGGGTTAGTTCATGTTAAGCGCAAGAGCCACCCCCCCACACCCCTTACTCCCAACTCCACATCGCCCCTACCCCAAAAAAGGTACCAATCTGGCTATGCACATTCCAAGGATCTAGTCTTTATTAAGAGCGTTCAATCTGCCCAGCTATTACAGTTTTGTCACAAAAAAACCCCAAAAACCCAAAACAAAACAAAACAAAAAAACCCCAACAAGTTAGTAAAGATACTTGGAGTACCTCAGCCTCGGAGGAAGCACCACTGAAGCCGTGGTGTTCCCGGAGCAGCATCCCTAGGGAATGCCTGCTGCCTGCCCGCCTCTCCCTCCGTGCATAGTTAAATCTGAGATGCTCCACGGGCACAGCAATCCAGGCACCTCCATGAAAAAACTTTTGTGCTCCAGACACCCAACAACTTCAAAGCCACGTTGGACTGAGAGAGCCAAACCCTCACGACACAAGAAGGTCTGTTAAGAAGACTTTTTTTTCTTTTTTTTTTTTTTTCCTTTCCTAAGGCCAACTAACTTCACCCCCACCCCCCCAAGCTCCATTTCTAGCTAGAGAATGAATTTCAAATGCTGATGGAATCACATAGCTGGGAACAGGCTGCTTTGGAAGATAGGACCTGCCCAAGGGAAGATCTCCAGACTGGAAGAGCTCTGCCCATCTCCTTGGAGGACACAGGCTCAAATAACTGACTAGTGAACTGAGTGGTTTGTGCTTCAAAAGGACAAGCCTCATCTTTCCTGATAACCCAGCTGGCCTCTGGCTTTGTGCATTAAAACCACACTGCATGCCAAAAAAAAAACCCCAAAAAACCAATAAAAAAAACCTACGAAGAGCAGCATTTCAAATTCCCCTAGAAAATACAGGATTAGGTCCAGCAGCCTGGGGCAGGCTCCTGGACAGATCATCTGCCTCATCATCTAGGAACACAACCATATTTTGGCACTGCAGACTTGGGAGCTTGAAGAAATTCATATGCAGGTCCCTGCTGCCTTTTTTTCCAGAAAGCTCTGCACAGCATTTTCCACCATGCACTCCCCCCCTTCCCCAGTGTTCCCCGTTTCAGGCATTTACACGTAGCCATTCCAATACCTCCCTGGTTTATGCAGCCCCACTTTGACAGCTCTTTGCTCCAGCTGGTCCTTCACAGGCAGCAAGTCATGCCAAAAAAAAAACAAACAAACAAACACAACCTCAGCGACACGGAACCTCAGCCAGGTTACTAGAAATGATCTTACGACCCTCCCCACCCCACAACAGAAACATTTTCCTCTTCAAGACAATCCCCACTCAAGCTCTTGGGACATCAGCCCCTGCAAAAATAATAAAGGTTTACAGTACAGTTGTGTTTATATTGTTACAGGCACTTAAACAGGATTCTTTGGTCCTTCAAAGGAATTTAGCCACTCGGGCTTCTGTTGGCAGAAACCACAAGTTTGCACACCCATAACACCTCCTGCACTAAAAAAAAAAAAAAAAAAAAAAACCAAAAAAAACCAAAACAAAACAAAACACAATTCAGATCCATTTCAGGGCAGTGCAGCTCTACCTTAGCGTAATTCTACAGTCTCCCCTCACACACCCCCACCCACCCCACTGCCTTCCAGAATTCCATGAGCAAGTCTTCCCATAAACGTCCGAGTCATCTCATTTCTATAACACTGCACTTCCCATCACAGTGTACAGCAGACAGGTCTTGTTCCAACAACCCCAAGGAACAAGACACTCAAGCAGGAGTCCAGGAAGTTTCCTTTTGTTGCAGTTCTAGGAAGGTTGGTTGGGTTTTTTTGTGGTTTTTTTTTATGTTTTGGTGGGTTTTGGTTTTTTTTTACCCCCCCATCCCACCCTCCCAACCCGCCAAGGCAAGGAAATACCTTGGAGGACAGACCCTGACGTTTGTCCTGGCTCAGTTACAGGGAAGCCACGTTGGGTAGGACTGATTGCAAGGCAGGAAGGGCTGCACGTGGGTGACATAGTAGTTGAAGTTTATTTCACTGACATAAGGGGCTGGCTGGTAGTAGCAGGTAACGTTTGTGACAGTGGGGATGATGTTCTGCTCAGCCAGGACCCTCACAGCCAGCATGGCAATGAGGTTCAGGGTCTGCCTCCTCTCGTGTCCCATGAGGCAGACTGTGCTCTCATTGACCACCCTGTGGAGGGTCATTAAATAGTCATATCTGTTGCTCTCCATCCCAACAAAGTGGCTCTGGAGGTAACATTCCAGCTTCCTCAGCTGCTCGCCGATGTCAGAGAAGTCTATGAAAAACCTGGAGCACATGTACCTCTGTAGTGCCTTCATATCCACTTCCGATTTGGGCTTAAACCCCCTCACCAAGAGGTTGCAGTACTTCAGGAGCCCCCCGCCTCGGATCTCCTCCGGGTTCCTGGTGGCGATGACCCTGTTCCGCAGGTGGTCCATGGCCTCCTCAAAGTCCCCGTACATGCTCTCCCCGGTGACCGTGGGGTGGAAGTTCTCAGCCATGGGGTTCTCCGAGCACTCCCCGAACAGCAGCAGCGAGTCCAGGATGATCTGGAAGGAGTCCACGCTGAACTCGAACTGCCGCCGGAGAGAGTCCACGAATTTGAGCTCCACGTTCTTCCCGCTGTTGTTGGAGAGCGAGATGAGGCTCCAGCGGTCGGTCTCGTTGCACACCTTCACCAGCTTCTGCACGTAGGCCTCCTTCAGAGTCATGGGGGTGATCTTGTCCTTGTTGACGCCTTCGGGGAGGAAGTCAAGCAGGCAATCCATGACCACGTCTTTGACGAGCTGGAAAACATCTTCTGTCTTCAGGTCCACGCCAAAAATGAGGTCCAGGTCTTTGTACCCCAAGCCACTGTCTTGATGCAGAACGTGACTGGCTGCTGAGCCATTCAACCTGACGTTATGGACTGTGATTCCTTTCTTCTCCAGGCGGCTACGGACAACCTGAGACATAAAGAGAGTCAGTGAGAGGCAAGCAGGAATTTTTGGAGCAGCCTGGTGACAGCAGGATCCACTCCCTGGGCTTATATGGGTCACTCCAGTGCAAGACAGTGAAATAAAAAGCTAATCCATTAGAAATAGGTCACTTTGGAAAGCATCCCGAGTCCTACCAGCAGCTAGGGGTGGCTCTCCTTTACTTATTCCCTGGCATTAGAGGGATCTGACTGCACATGATGAGCTGTTCTGCTTCCAGTGCAGTGTCTGCTCTCCCCTGCCTTCCCCACGCTGAAGGGGAGAGGTTCCCTGACCCCATTTTTTGGGGTGGTCCCTGCCCCCTTCATCCCCTCACAGTTCCAGCCAGCAAGCCAAGACCAGCCGACCCCAAAGTGACCCCAAACAGGGAGGCAGCAGCACAGTCTGCAGCAGTCCCAGTGGATTTAATCAGGGTGGCTCGCTCCTTTTAGCCATCCCCTTCGGCCTGTCAAGATTCATTAAAGGCAAATCAAGATGCCAGAACTGCTCAAAAGCCCCAGCCAGGCGTATGCAAGTTCATGTCCCAACTAGTAAGTGTATCCTAACAATTTCCAGTGTGTCAGAGCTTCGTGCTGAGCTTGGCATGCTATCAAGCACAAGAGGCAGCTTTCATCTTACGGGTGTTACTCCGGTGATTTTAATGCTGCCTGCTCAGTCCTGGCACACCCACCAGTCCCTCCAAAGCTTTGTTCATTTAGAGGGAAGCTGAATCACCTGCTTGATTACTTAACAAGCAGGAGGCTAAAATAACCCCCAAGACCATAAAATAAACTCCCTGGACACCAGCTTATAATTTGAGTTTAACTCAGCTCAAAGATCCCAGGAAGATTAAGTCTGCATCTTCCACCAGAAGATCTTCCCACCTCTCATCCTGCTTTCATGTTCCTCTCCAGCAATTACCCATTTTCCTGGGACTCCCAGCTAACCAGCCTGAAGCAAGGCTATGGCTTGAAAGAGCCAAAGCTTGGGACACAAACGGACAAATTGTATCACCAAGAGCCAGTCCAACCAGGTCCTCCAGCTCTGCGAGGCTGCCCTAGTTTGAGAGGCCCCAAAAATTCTGATTTTCGGCCTCCCAGAATCCAAATTTTAATTCAAAACTTTATCAGAAGGGACAAACCCTCTTGCTGGTTGAGCAGACAGTGCTGGGGGAGATCAGAGCACTGCAGCTCTGGCCTCAGCAGCCGTAAAACTGCCCCTCCACGAGTTTTGTTTAGAAAGAAGAACACATAAAAAGTGAAGAACTGCAGTGTGAAACCCTCACTGTGTCACAGACCCCTTGGTGACCCAACTAAGGGCCGCCAGCAAGTTCTGCTGCCTCTGCAAAAAAAAATAAAAAAATCTCAGAACAACCCCACGGATGTTTTTGCACTTAGAGGTTGTTCAGGCTCACGATGCAGCTTCCCTGCTGGTGTTTCCCCTTTCTCCCTGACACGAGCCATCCCTGCTCAGGCTAGAAACATGCCTGGGCTCCTTGCCAAGCCCGTGGTGACAGTCACATGTCAGGCAACAGTCAACCAGGGAGCTATTCACCATCAGAAGTCCCAGGTCCCCACCAGCACATCCAATCCAGCCAGTGAAAGAAGTTGTTTTCCAAGGTAGATAGTTTGGAAAAAAAAAAAAAATTAAGTTTACTTCTAGAAGAGACACAGGGTTAATCCCCCAAATTGAACAAACATCATGCAGGGGAGCTCCTGGTCTGCATCTGCTGCCAACTGGAGTCACTCACCCGGGGCACGGCTCCAGCACTACTCGTGGAGTTAAGAGTTTTGTGCTATTAGGCTTAGAGAGACAAGATATAGGTCACAAAAGTGTTAGATGCGGAGCCAGGCCCAGTGCTTGGAGAAGATCTCATTCCAGATTAATTTCCTAACCCCAGAGAACATCTGCTTAACCCCTTTCCGAGCAAAGCTCAGGGCCTGCAGTGTTTCAGACCCATAAGCTCCAGGCTTACTTGAGCTCCCCAGGTCTGTCCGTGTGAGACGTACTCAGAAAATGGGAAAAATCCAACTGCTCAAGTCAGCTTTGTCCCAAATCACCCCAGAAAGCTCCAACCCTGCAGAGCACTTTGCCATTCCCTGAGAGCTTCCACCTGGGAGCTCAGCTCCCCAGCTGCAGGCAGTGGGTTCAGGGATGCATTTTTTCCCCCAGAGGGTTGGATATTTCTAGGGTTAGGCAGCTGCTGACCTGCTTCCCAAAACAGCAGCTCACCTTCCGTGTGGTTGGGATAATTGACTCTGACAGCCAGGCAGGAGCAAATCCTGCTGCGTCCTGACCTGCCGCTTCCCACCTCCCACAACAACAACAACAGGATAAATAACTGCCTTTTGGGTTACTTGTTCCAGCTTAGTCAGCCCTAAACACAGGGTCTGCCAGCACGGCCGGGCACAATTACAGCCCTCAGTTATTCCATGTTTGAAGTTGCTACTGGCAACATCCTTTTCGGCAGCTCCGACACCGAATCGCCGCAGTTTTTGTGGAACCAGAGAGGAATAACTGGTGGAACATTTGATGCTGCACAGTGCTGCGGTCTTGCCCGAGCCAAGGGCAGCGTCCTGCCTGCAAATCTCATCTGTCATTCAGCTTCGGGATCGAGCAGCCAAAATTTAGCGCTTCTGCCCCCAACAGATGCGGCAGGAACTCGAGGAATTTAAAACCAGCCGAGCCTTTCAAATGTCACCATCCCATCTTCCAGGCTTAACTCGAACTATTTCTCAAGCAGCTGAGGCTCCGAAATCCCGGTGATTAGGTTATTGTGAAAGCCAGTTGGGTTTTAGCACCGTGAATAGGCTTTTTAATTAGAAGCCAACATGCCCGATTTTACATTTGATGAGTCATTACTGAGGAATGAAGTCGCCTCCCAAACATGAATATGCATCAGCTCATTCGAACTACATTGTTAGTTTAATATTAAACACGGTTATTACTTGATAGTTAAACTAACAGGAGCTCGTGAAGTCTCGGGCAGGCTCTGGAGGATACATCAGTGTCCCGAGAAATCAAAGGACACGGACATTTGATCCGGCATTTGAATTAATAAATGCCTCTTCCAACACAAGCCCAACATGTCCACCAGCACGAAGCCATTTCGTGGAAGCAGCTCCAAAAAAAAAAAAAAAAAAGCTACTTTTTGCCTTGGCCACACACATATCACAGCTCTTAGGGCACCAAATTAACTCGAAAAGAGGAGGAACAACACAAGATGGGAGGAAGCTGAGCGGGATCTGTGGCACAAGCCGCAGCAGCTCCAGCGATGGGGCAGGATTTTAAAGGCAGGCGAGTTTTCCAGGAGGGTCCTTCCAGCTTTAGACATCGCTGCAGTCCAATGAATTCCTGCCAGCCCTACAGAGACCCTCAGGATTGGGAAGTGGGGCCAGTTGAGTGCACAGCACCGCCCCGGATGATTGGGGCCAGTCCTCCCATGCAGCTTTTAACCCCAGTGGAGCATCCAGGCCAGGCTGGACAGAGCTTGGAGAACAACCTGGTCTAGTGGACGGTGCTGGAATAGGGGTAGGGGCTTGGAATGAGATGGTCTTCCCAAATCCCACGCGCGCCAGAGGCCAAGCAGCGTCTTGACAATGCTCTGAGACACAGGGTGGGATTGCTGGGGCTTGTGCCGCGCAGAGCCGGGGGCTGGGATGGATGATCCTTGCGGGTCCCTTCCAGCGGAGAGTATTCACGATATTTAAGGTACTTTGCAACCCAAAGCGTTCCACGATCCCCGCGCCAGGAGCTCTGCCCTGGGCCCGGCGGGGGGAGGCCGAGGGTGCCCGGGCGGGTTGGCTCGGGGCCCGACGGGGACGATTAATGTCGCCTCAGCACTTTTTATTTTCTCCCTGACCCCCGCTGGAACGGGGCAGAGTCCAACGGGGCGACACTGAGCGGCCCGTGATCCCCCCCCCCCCCAACCCCCCCACAACCCCCCCCACACACCCCCCCCCCCCCCCCCGAAAAAAAAAAAAAAAAGAAACAAACCGCCGCCCAAAAAAAAAAAAAAAAACGAGCCGCTCAGCCGGAAACAGCCCGGAAACCGGCCGGAAGTGGCGGGCGCGGAGGGGAAACCGGGGGGGAAGATTTAAAATGAGGGGGAAAAGGTAAAAAGGAATCCCCCCGAGAGGGGCCGGCGAGGGGGGGGGGGGTGGGCGCGCGGGGCGCGGCGGGAGGCGCGGTCGGTGCCCGCAGGGACTCGCAGCGAACCGGCCCGCCCGCCCCCCGCCCGCCACCGGCTCCGCCGAGCGCTGCGCCCGCACGCCCCCCCCGCCGCGCCTTATATAGCCCCGGCCCGCGCCCCATTGGCCCGGCCCACCGCCAATCGCGGCCCGAGAGCGGGCACGGGGGGAGGAGCGAGGCCGGGCCCGGAGCCAATTGGAGGAGAGGGGAGGGGGAAAGGGGAGGGGCGATGGAGGGGGCGGGGCGAAGGGGGGTGGAGCTCCGCCCCTCCGGCGCGCGGGAATCCCGGCGGCGATTGGTCGGGACGGGGCGCGCGCTAAAGGGACACCCCATTGATGGGCTT